GCCCGTGACCGGAAAGAGCCGCCCCCTGCCATTGGCAGCAGCAGCAATGGCAACGTAGCAAGGGACTGGATGCAGAGCCGCTGCTCTGCCCAGCTCCGTGCCACCGCTGCTCCACACTACTCCACGGGACCCCCCCAGAGTGCGGGGCCTGGGGCGATCGTCCCGATTTGCACCCCCCCAGGGATGGCCGTGCAGGCATCCATGCAATATATGCCCCACCAGTAAACCCTGGCCCAACTGCAGCATTGTTTATTTCTTTTCTTAAGTCCTGGCCCTGCAAAAGGGTCAGCCTGCCTGCAGTTTATTGTATTACTGGTACCTTAGAGCAAGCCTGTGCCATAGTGACTGCACATGGCCACCACAATGGCTTTGAGCACACTCCACAGACCAGCAGCATATTGGATACTGAAGTCTCTAAAGTGGCTCTGGAGATAACTACAGAGCAGCTTGTCTGGCATATTTCTGGGTTTGGCGTGCGTGTATGGGAGCAAGAGGCTGGGGCCTGGTTGAAACCTAAGTTCAAGCCCAATGAAGTCAACGTGTGGATACCTTTAAGAGTGTTATGTATAAGTTGTAGGGGTTTAGGTTGTTACATTTGCCTGGGGATTGCAGGAGGGAACAACAGAATGGTAGGTGAGGTACTGCTCTCAAATAACCACGCGTTATCATTCTATAAGATTAACTCCTTGGTCTTTTGAAAACAACACATGGTACCAGGAGTGGGGAATGAAAAAAGACAAAAAAATAAAAATAAAAATAGAGCATCTCAGAATTCCAGAAGAGTTAAAGCTGTGCAACAATGCAGCAGAAACCTGGAAGAAATTTAAGCAGAGGTTCACTATGTATATGACAGGCAGAGCTACAGAGAAGGAAGATTCACTCAAGGTAGGTATTTTTTTTAAATATAGCAGGCCAAAAGTTCTGTCTATTTATAATAGCCTGCACCTGTTAGAAAGGAGTCCCCTGTGCTTCAGTGGTAGAAGCCTTGCCTACCACACAGGTGACCTGGGTTCAGTTCCCAGACACTTATATACAATTACAGCCAAGGAGGCCCCAAACATCTGGACTTCGTCTGGTCTTTGGATTCTATCTCAGTGGCCTAAAGGGAGGATGGAAGGTCTGGGCAGCCTCCACTCTTCCAAAAATTCCTGCCCAGGCATATGCACTGAAGGTCTGGGGGGCCCTCATGCATACACCATGATTTAGGAGGATTGACTGTTGCCACAATTGTCAGAAGCAGAACAGAAAAGCTATGGCACAGTAATACTGTATACCAAAATAAAATGAAAACTTAATTTCCAAGTGAGACAGCAGGAAAGACTGTGAGACAATACAGGAGTTTGTCAAAGACCTCAGACTGCTGAGCCAGATAAGCAACTTTAGAGACCTAAAAGAGTCTTTGATCAGAGACCAAATAGCATTGGATATAAGGGATACAAGACTCAGGAAAAGACTGCTAGAGGATCCTGAACTTAATTTTGAAAAGGCAGTTAGAATGTGCCAAGTGGCTGGTATAACAAATGCCAGGCTGCAGAAGCTGGAGGAAAAAAACAGAACAAGCTGAACTAGACAGGATTACAAGACTGCAAAAACCTAAGGCAACACACAAACAATACAGAAAGAAGGACCTCACTATGGCAAGTGGAAGCCAAAGAGAATCAGCTGCAGATTACCACAAACCCATGCAGTGCCCAGCATTTGGTAAGTGCTGCAATAAATGCAAAACATTTAATCACTCTGCAAGAGTCTGCAGAAAGGAGCAGGATGCAACACATGAAACAGCAGATGCAT